AGTGAATGGGGTCTATGGGTTGTTCTGTGGTGTCTCCGAAATCGGAATCTGCAACTGGTGATCGATTCCTAACGGGACGCATGATCGGAGTCGACAGGAGAGGAGTTTCTAGATTAGAAAAGCTGCGAAACTCAACTGGGTTTCTCACCAATTGACTAGGACCAGGCTGTGAGGGTTCTGGGGACGGTGAGGCAGAGTTGGGAACTAATGTGCATAGTTGCAAACGAGTGCAGGGGGCTTTTGGTGCCATACAAGATGTGTACTAGTCAGGGAGTAATAAAATACTGTCAGAGACCAGATCGAGACGAAGGAATGTCTCTGTGGCAGAGGGCTTCGGCCTCAGCGACTTATGCCAGGAGTGCTGTGCCAAGTAACATGTCCATGCCCTAACTTACTAACTGGCAACCAGAACTAAAAGGGGGTAAACTCTAGTCGATTTTATTACTGAGGTGTAACCTATGTACAAGTTGAGTATATATAGTTACAACGAGGGCGGGCCCGTAAATGGCGGGGCCAAGTGGAGTGGAGCTAACGGAGTTAAACATTAGCCGATTGAATATTACCGATGAGTCGGGTTATGGGGTTAGCAGGATGGTAGGCGATAACCCAGAAACGGAAAGGGGGGATAGGCCCGAAAGGTGGACTTGCAGGGCAAGCGAGTGTATTGCCCAGCGGAGGTGGGAGTGTGCTAGTGGACATCGGAGCTGTCCAGAAGCCTTCAGGGCTCCGTACTTAGGGAGGTGTAGGTAATAAATTGAAAAGAGGGGGTGGTGACCATCGAGGGATACTGAGGTGATTGTGGAATATGGGAGCTCCAAGGTTAGTGAAGAAGGAGTGGAGGTAGTCCGGAGAGATCGGAGGGTCCGGAGGTCGATGGCCGTGGATGGATATGACAATTGGGTTCAAAAGCTGGCTTTTGCTTGTAAGGAACAAACTCTTCAGAATGTTGAAAATATCCACCTTTTTATATGTGAAATCTTGCTGCTTCAGGCTGTACTCTGGAAGACAAAGACGTGGTGGTATGTCTCTTCGTGGTTCATGGAGGTGGCATGGATCTGGCTCAAGCTCAAGGTGACCTTGTATCAGCTACTTGGGAGATTTAGCAAAATCAACTGATGGCTGTGATTTATTGTAAGGCCAGTTGGGGTGCTGGCCTGGGTTGACTCAATCCTCAGAATGTCGAGATCTAGGCTGTATGGAGCTTATGATTCAACATCGGGGTGAGGGTAAAGAGTGAAGAACCCTTTACCTGAGCCCGAGCCATACATATGTAAATACAGTTATTTTACATTGTATACAAAGAATAAAGAACAAATAAAGAAAGTGCGCAAAGCACACATCACCACTCTACCACCCATCCTGTTATAGAGATGGACTAGATTCTTATGGTCCGTGACTGCAAGTAGGTAGGTTGTCTCTGCCCTCCTTCATTATATTTCTCTGTCAAACTCCATGCCAAGCTTTCCCACTGGGTTTTGGTGCTGGCTGGGGGAATTGTTAAGTTTCAAGGGACTTCCCTTGACCATTGAGACTTTGATATTAGATAGAAACCAGTCATATGACATGTAAAGGCAAATGCCGAGGATGTTGATCATTATCGAATACATAACCCACAAACCTTGTACCGCAATTGTAACATCCTCACCATTGTGCCACCACTGTAAACTCAACCTGTAACCTCAGAACCATGTCCACCTCCCTATTCATCCTCTCCATGACAAAACCACAACGAGGAGGGCATTCCCACACCCAACCTCCTGCTGCCTGCTCCCACCAGTCCACCAGGTGGTTGAGCAGTCACTCCCATCCAACCAGAAGTTCCCTATCAGGAACTGTAGCCTATCCCACCTCCTTAGGAGAGGGATATGGTCCAGGCAGCTCCAGGATGCCTGGCCACACACCTGCGGGTCCCACTTCCCACGGTCACTCACTACCGTGCACTGGTCCACCAGCCCGCTTTCCCCAACAACTCCTGCTACCAGTACGCTCCCATGAGTGCCAAGTCACCGATAGCCACCAACTGGGTGACTCCCTTTGGGAGTCCCAGTATCCCATGCTACCAGTATGCTCCATTGAGCACCAAGTCACCGCTAGCCAACCACTCCCAGCACACCCGCTACCGGCACGCTCCCAGGAGCGCCAAGTCCCCGTTAGCAGACAGCCAGGTGGCTCCCTCAAGGAGCCCATGTCATACTCGCTACCGGTACGCTCCCAGGAGCGCCAAGTTACTGTTGGCCAACCCACAGGTTGTACTTCCAGACACTCATCCCATTCCACTCTCCCTCCGATGGCTACGCAGCCACCTCCATTAGTGAGCCGAATGGCTCAGGTTGGGTTCCCCAGAACCCATTCCTGTAACACATCCCTTACAATTTATCCTGCTCACACCCAGATCCCAGTTGTTAAATTTTCAAGTGCCCCTGCGGTTTCCAGTTTCTCAAAGGGGATTCCTTGAGTATGAGCTGAGATGACACAGTAAACCACGCACTCACTGAGTTGGGCAGCCATTTGGTAGAGGGTTTGGGACATTAGGGTGATGTGGTGCTTCACCTCTGGAGTAGTATGTTTGGTAATGAGTTGATGCATGGAGGTCCAGAGCCAAGCAGTATGTTTATGTGGTTCATCAGTGCTGCAGTCTTCATCAATGAACACCAACAGGGAACGCAGAATGGCAGTGCAGCGCTAGTGTGCTATGTTGCAATACAATCCTAACTGTATTGAAAATAAAAAATCCCCAAAATTTGATCATTTTCGAGCTGATTTCTGACAAACATATTGATACCCCATTCACTTGGAAATTGACAGATTCCCTCAAAAACGCAGTATTGTATATTACCTTACAGCTATTGTCTGTTGGAGTTACAACGATGCGTGACTCACTAACCAAACTCACATGATCTTACTTTTCGTTTCCGTTGTATTGATACCGTGACTGCATTGTATATAGGTAATTGTTTGGGTCTACTTTCCTTTTCTCCTCAGTTCTTCATTAACGGAGACTGAGGTTAGTATCATTGTTTTTAGTTAGTTGTTACATTACTTACTCTGTACTCTTCTGTACTATAGCTCCCGCTTTAGGTTAGTATTAACCGTAGTAATTCAGTTCTTCATTAACGGAGACTGAGCTCCCGCTTTAGCCCTCCTATTATTGTCACTAGGTAATATATTAGTTCTCGCGCATATTGCTTGAGACTGAGCTATTGTCACTAGAGCAAGCGGTTATTCCGTTAGTCCCTTGGTCCTGCCATGCGTCATGAATACAAATCCAGAGGGTAGTACACTACCTACCCCGACTTCATGTTATTTGGAGGTCCGAGGAGTGATGTGAACTGGAATCTGACATGAAGTTCAATTTTAAGCGCCGAGTTCCGCTTTGTCTGGCAACTTCCGACTGAATGAGTCGGTGCCGCCACTCTCCTTTGGGGAACCACGCTTACGATGTTTCTGACGCACATAGGGAAGAATGCAACATAACAGTATCACTCACAAAGGTGCAAGACGGACGCGGAGAGAAAAACAGCGAATCCCAGCACGAATCTGAGCGGTGAATCGTGCTCCCGAGTGTCTCACACACGCCTTTTCGCTCCTTCAGTCTTTTCTGACGCACTGGTTCCCCCACCAGGGTGTTAGGGAGAATACTCCTGAGGGATCGTTATACAAGAAAGCTATGGATTGACTTCCAACCGCCAGAATTGCCAACACGTTCCACATACAATTCCTTGCGTACAAATTCCAACATACACCCCTCATCCCGCTCTCAGGCACCGTCGGTAAATTCCACATTAACCATACAATGGAGTTTCTACGCGTCAGTTACTAGACTGTTACTACTTCTCCTACTCAGCTGTTCAGTATTGAGGAGGCCTTCGCCGGAAGACACGCCGAGGAACATTTGAAAGAGCGTTTTTCTCGTAGGTTCTGGGGCAACATGACTGTATTCGTTAGTTCCGATTTATGGATTCCTATGGTCGAATTGTATGTCCGTGACGAAAGGTAAGATCAGGCCTCAGAATTTGGGTAAACTTATCGCAACTTGAGATTGCATTGTGAGCCCTGGTGGAAAATCGGAGATTTCTTGGAGGCTTCTCGGAGAATTCCGTTTGCGGGTAGACAAGGATTCTCAGAGCTAAGAATATGCTGTGCGCTTGCAATCCCTCTTGGTGCCATTGGTAGCTTCCGTGAGAGGGGTATTTGATTGCCATCAGACCAACGTTGCAGTTGCAGCCTTGGCCTGTTGGACCTATATGGCTATAGATGCTGCGGGTGGCGTCGATACGCAAAAGTCCGAGCTTCCCCTGAGATACTCGTAACCTGACGGACGCCCTTGACTCGCTCATCTCCAGTACTACGAAATGAGGCAAATGGACCCTTCATCTTGTGGTCACATAACCGCATAAGGAACATCCTGAAGATTCCCCATTGATAAGTTGCTTGGTGAACTCGTGCCCGTTCCTCTGCCTTTCCATCGTGCAGACCATGGGTTGGTCGGAAGTCAGTTCATCCTCTGATTTGTGTCGACAAATGATTATAACTTGGCCCGCTTACTAGGATCGATTTGTGTCGCCTCCTCCAGCATTCCTAGTTTGCAGGGCCTGCATAGAAATCCTTTGCGACCCTGTATTCGTACGTGCATTGGTCAACATCTGTCACCAACGTTTAGAGTGTCCATTGAACTCCTATAGATCTGCTCTGAGTTCCACCTCATCTGTTGTGGATGCTTCCATGCTCCCCACCACTGTCCAATTTGCCGTCGAGTCATTCACCACAATGATCGTCCTCAGATGGACATCAAGATTTCAAGACTTATCGACTCGCTTGTTATTCGATGTTCCAGCTGGAAAGAAGGATGCGACTGGACCGGCAGCATCCGTGTCGAGAGCTGTCACCCTCCTAACGTCGGTTTTATACGTACACTGTGTTAACACCTCCCTTTCCCTATTGTAGTGTGGTTTTCGGGGAATAAAGTGCCAAAACCAGGTAGGTAAGGGGATCCATAGACACTGCCAATGCGATAAGCCTGCATGAGGAAGAGGCAAACCTAAACAGCGGTCCACCAGTCAAGGCACCCATAGAGAAAGGAGCGTGACGGGAGAAGAAGTCGCATAAGAAGAAAAAGGAACGAGACATCTCCGCCTTTGACCGCCTGGCCTGCATCCCCAATGTCGTTCTGGATTGATGTCATGATGCCTAGGCCCTGACCGGGTAGAGGTAGGCATTGGGAAAGTGCGCCTTGATACGCTCATCAAAGAGCCAGTAGAAGGGCGTCGCATACGTGACGTCAGTGGTCTCTGTCAGGCCGGTTCCGCCGGTGAGAATGCCGCCGATACGTCCCTGGCCATCAAATATGATGGCGCCAGAATCGCCAGGGGCGGAGAATGCGCCGGACTTGTCGTACGGAAGGATTGCCCACTCCATGGATGTCTGGTGAGGGCCGTTCTCGAAGTACTCGCGCACACAGGACATGATGCCGGTAGCACGGCCAGTGGTCACGCCGGTGGCGCAACCGCTCTTGATGACGAGGAGGCAAGGCTCGTTGTCTGCGTCTAGCATTTGCGGGTGGCGCAGCTCGTCTTCCCCGATGATGCCCTGAAGCGGCAAGAGGCGGTTAGACGGGTATTTGAAGGTGGTGTTGGCCGAGGGGTTGGGGTACATCCGTGAGGTAAAGTTGTGCACCGGAATCTCTGTGCCTAGGTATAGCAGTTAGACAGACGGCCCTAGTGAGATAGATCAAAACGTGCCTAGATCTACAACATTGCCTTTAAAGTTGTCCCAGTCGATCTTGTTGCAGTCAAGCTCGATGAGAGCCCAATCCTCGGTGTAACGTTTGGCACCTGCACCAACGGTAATAGGAGGCGAGTAGGCGACGTGTCCTAAAACGCGCAGGCTCTCTTCGCTCCAGTACTTTGTGGCCTTGTCGTGGAAATGGTTAAGGGCTTCGATCGTCGCTTCCGCTTCCTTCAACTTGCCCTGAATCACCTCCTCCTCCTGCTCCTCGTCGCCGCCACCTTGCAAGTCCTGAAGCTGCTGGTTGTAATAGTCGACCATGATCTTGTGTTCCCCTATCTTGACCATGGTGGACTTGAGCATCGTCTGGAAGGCCTTGGGGCCGGGGAGGATGACTTCGCGACGAGGCTGGCTGGTCCACTTGCGGTTGTACAGCTCGTTAAACCCTGCATTTGGTGGGAAGACGACGTGGCGGGTGGTGAGAATGTAGACCTTCTCGCTGTCACGGCCTTGGGAGATGTAGAGAGCTCCAGTGCCCTCGGCGTACGAGGTGGCTCGGGCAGCGAGCGGCAGACCGAGTGCAGGGGTGATGAGACCGCAAACGCTGGTGGTTGGGTTTGTGGAGGAGACGTATTTGAGGAGTTTAGGACCGACCGACCTGATGAGAATGGATTCCCTAAACTCAACTTCGACGTCGGTGAGCTGGGACGACTCGAGGAGTTGCAGGCAACCGACGGCGGCGGTGTGGGCGTCCTCGCCGGAGAGAGACTGGGGCACCACCCCGATCCATAGAACGACGGGACCGGGGGTCTCCCCGACCTTGGCGAAGCGCACGACGTCGACGCTCGTCCACGTGATCTGCTCGGAATCGAGATAGTCGCAGACCTTTGGGCCCAAGTCGCCCCAGACGTGTACAATCCCGTGATTGAAGACTGGCTTGAGCTCCTTTAGCTCGCGGTACGCCTCAGGACCGGTGGGCGGTTTCCAGGGTGTGGTGCTCGTACGGTAGACTAAGACGGGGCTAGAGAGCAAGCCTGCGTAGTAGAATCTGGCCTCCAGCTTGGAGACAGAGTAAGGGGGCGAAGAGGAGGAAGTGGTGTCCATGGAGTCATCGGCGAAGCTCTGGTCGTAAAAGAGGGTCTTGGATGTTGGAGTAACAACGACCCGTGACTTACCCTCTTACATCCGTATTCACCTCGTGACACAATGTATATAATTACCTTGTCACTTTCCAGCCTGGTATTCCTTAGCGTTTTTCCCACCCTCTTTATATTCCCGCTACTCTGCAGGGGGTCTTGTAAATTTCTCGGTGCCGAACTGAATGCAAAATACGACGGGGTCCTCTATTATTGCTAATGGCTTCATAACTTAGGGTCCTTGTGAGGTCTCAGTGGGGTAGCTCAGCACACAGAGCCATAAGTGATACAAAGGTGTGTATTTTACGGTGTGTGTAAGCAGTTAACAGAAGTTACCGCCTACTCACGTGACTGTATATCATTTAAATGCCTGGGAAACGTTTCATGGCGTTTTTTTACAACAACTACCCAACAGCCGATGAGAATACATTGGTCAGATGTGGTGGTACTTTATGTGTTATATGAGACAGATTTTTGACGATTTTGATGCTGTAGGAAGCATTTATGACACATTTATTAAGTTATTAAAAACATATTCAGAGCATTTGAGGGGTATAAAAATGCATTCAATAATATCAAAAAATGCCATAAACAATTTATCACAATGTTTAGATGCCAAATTTCACATTTAAACGTCAAATTTTGGTGTTTTAAATGTCAAGTCTCATGTTTTTGATCGATCTCGCGATTTTCCAACGTGTAATTACATATGGCTCGGGGTTCAGGGCTATTGCCCTGACATTCTCCCCCCTTGCATTGCATTTGCAATGCATACATGGTCATGGTTAATGATGAAGAGAATAGAATTAAAAAAAAGAGTTACATTGAGTTTGGGAATATCAATGAGTGTTTTATTGTTGCCACTTTAAAGTGGACGATTTATACATGTTGGTGAGAGAAATTGAGAGAATAAATGGGTGTGGGGCCATCACTTTGAAGTGAACAGCGATACATGGGTATCGCAAAGGGGAAAGTAGGGCTCCTAGTGGATTGGATAACACTCGGATATCTGCAGATTTATCTGAAAATCGGCAGATGCAGATTTGGCTTTTGACAGGATAATATCTGCAGTTTCTAATCTGCGGATGGGTGGATTATCAACGGATCTATTGTTGCTACTGTTCTAGATACCCCTCCCATGTTTCTATATTTTCTTCCAATTTTTTCAAGTCTTATTTGACCACCCAGGCCTGTTATTCCCAAATTAGGCATTTGACCTCCAAGTTTTCCACCATTCTCCCCATATTTCCATCAGTTCTCCACCAATATGGACAAATTTGGGATTGTTAGAAAGCTCTCGTCAAGGACAATTCTGACAAAATGCAACTTTGGAACATTTTATCTACAATCCACAGTTGATCCACAGTTGATCCACATATCCGCGGATTCCGGATACGGATTTTATTTCAAACCTCTAAAAATCCGTGGATTCTGATCCGGATCCGATCTGATCTGATCTGCTAGGAGCCATAGGGGAAAGTGATGAAGAGAAGGAGTTTTTTGAAAGTAAATTTCGACCCAAAGATTATATGTCTTTGGTGTTCCTCCTCACTTGTTCTGTGAGGGTTTGTGTGTAAATGGTGTTTACACACGAGCAGTGGTGGATGTGGGCTTGACGAAGTGTCAGGGTTCAGCACCCTGCCTTAGGGTGCCCTGGACTCCCCACCTACTTTACTCCCTTTATTCTTTGATTGTTGCCTTGTTGTTGCCTTTGTGTGTTGTGTACATGCACATACAGGATAGCATGGGAACTTTCTGAGCGAGCAGCTCACCCAGAATGTTCCCACAGGTCACAGCCACAATTTTGGGCAAGCAACTTGCCCAGAACATTCCCATGCTTACTGGGCACTGCCACCTGGATGTTCCCTCTGGGTCACACTACACAACTCTAGGAGCTGTATAGTTGTGGGCATGTGACCCATTCCTTTATATAGCAACCATGCGGGGAGATGAGACCTTTACCCTTCTTCTCATCTCATGCCCCACATAGGCAAGTGTACATATTCTCTTCCTTTTACCATACATCTCATGCCCCGCATAGTGTGAGGACAGGTTAGATGGGGGTTGAGGTCAGGGAGCCTCCGAGTCCAAGGCCGGGCCCTGACATGAAGTAGAGATTTCCGCAATTGTTACTTGTGGTTCCTTGCATACAATATTGTGTGTGAGGCCTTGAGTTGGGGGAAGGTGTTTTCACAGTGAAGGAGAGAACTGTCATATCTGTGCATATCCAATCCCGACCCGACTCCCGGACCTCCTTCCTTCACCACCTCCGGAGTCCTACCCTACCGCTGTTCGTTCCGATATTCACCTTCGGTCCTGACACCACACCTCCTCTCACCCCCCCATGCCACCTCCACTCCTCTGTCCCTCTCCTGCCCTATCTCCATCCGCTCCGACACTCACCTCGGACTGAACACCACTCCTCTCGCCACCCTCCTACTTGTCAGGGTTCAGCACCCTGCCTTAGGGTGCCCCGGACTCCCCACCTACTTTACCCCCTTTTATTCTTTGACTGTTGCCTTGTTGTTGCCTTTGTGTGTTGTGTACACACGCGCGCACGGGATAGCGTGGGAACTTTCTGAGCGAGCAGCTCGCCCAGAATGTTCCCACGGGTCACAGCCACAGTTCTGGGCAAGCAACTCGCCCAGAACGTTCCCACGCTTACTGGGCACTGCCACCTGGATGTTCCCTCTGGGTCACACTACACAACTCTAGGAGCTGTATAGTTGTGGGCATGTGACCCATTCCTTTATATAGCAACCATGCGGGGAGATGAGACCTTTACCCTTCTTCTCATCTCATGCCCCGCATAGGCAAGTGTATATATTATCCTTCCTTTTACTATACATCTCATGCCCCGCATAGTGCAAGGACAGGTTAGATGGGGGCTGAGGTCAGGGAGCCTCCGAGTCCGAGGCCGGGCCCTGACACTACTCTCCTCCTGTCCGCTCCGATACTCACCTTTGGACCTGACACCTTTCCTCTCCTCCACACCTTACCTCCTTCCTCCTTCCTCTCTCTTCCCTCTGGCCCTCTTCCATCGACCCCCCACCAAGTTATGACCTTCCACCACTGTCCCGTACTTCGTACTCGAACACCGCTTGTACCTTTGCTCCAAGCCTCCATCATAGCTCCTACCTTGGACTTTGACTCCACCTCAGCCTTAGTCCATTGCATTGGTGACCTCATACTATGTAAACACCATTGCCAATATCCCTTGGACTTTCAACCCTGCCTCCGCAACCTCCATAAGCTCCGCAACCTCCGAGCTCCATGGATCACCTTTGGCACTTTTGCCGCTTGTAATTGTCAGGGCACACCCACCTGACCCAGCTCCACCCGGCCCAACCTGACCCGGTACCCCGCCGCTCCACCCTCCCTTACCTCCTCCCCCTTTCCCTTCTTCCCCCTCATCCTCCCCTCCTCAGTTTCTCCTTATCTTACTTCTTCTTTATTCTCCCTTTATTCTACATGGACGACTTTCTCTGTATCAATGTACAATTGACCCATCTGCAGCGCGCCCACCATGTACCCGGCCCGGGCACCTCGGGCGACCTCCTGCTGTGCCCAGCACGCGTGCCTGCACTGGATACCCTCGGGATCTCCCACGGAGACACCCGGATGGTTACGGCTGTGTGCGAGGGTGACGTGGCACCCGTCATGTGATCCAAGCCGCATGTATATAAACGAACCTGAAGTGGGAACCGAAGAAGTAGCCTTCTTCTCAACCTTCCACTTCAGTCTAAGTGGCCAGGGACCACTGTCCCGCATCGGGCCTGTCAGTACGCATGCCCAATCCGCCCCCCGCCAGGCTCTCGGTCCCGGACGCTATACCTGGACCCCCTCGACCCCGGACGAGTCCCTGACAGTAATGTATCTCTCGCGTTTTCCCCTCATCCCTATTTGGACTGCTGCTTCTTCCCATTCTAGCCAGTTAGTCATCATCCCCACTTCCCCTCATCCTCCTGCCCCTCTGGGCCTTGCCCTCCTTACCTCCTTTCAGACGTACCACAGGTTCTGCCTTATGACCTTCGGTACCACTCCGCTTTGGTCTTCCCTTTGTTCCTGTTTGGATGCCTTCGTTCCGATTCAGATCCCCTTTGTTTCCTTGTGCTTTTGCCCTCTTGTTATATATATATCAGTGCCTGTACATACTCGTTTTAGGCCTTAGTCTAAAATCGACCTGAAATGCCCCCTAGAGACTTCCTGCTCGCCCCCTATGAAATTAAGGACCAAATGGACAAACAGCAATGGCACAGTGCTCCACTTGAGTTGCTGAGGCCAAGGTCCCTCCTTGCTAAGTCTCCGGTTCCCCTCCAGAATTGTCCACCCTCACCCAGTTCTAACAAGAACAAAGGAAGGTCAGTTGGGAGGTTCAAATGAGACCACCACCAAGCTGTTCCCTGGTTCTTTAGTTAGGATGGGGAAGTGTACTAGTAATATTTGTTGTATTTATAGTACCGATCCGAGTGTTTTGGCTAATTCTATTTTATGGGTTAGTCTAAAAGTTTCTGAGAATTGACTTACAGATAAACAAAGCCCTGTGGAGCTGTTCCTCTATTGTAATTTCTCAATTTGTCTGGGTGTAATTCTGTGTAGGATTGTTTAATTTGGATTTTAACTTGAATTAAATCTTCTACTTGGTGAATTTTCAAAGATTCTACTCAGTTAATGGGTTTAGATTGTGTCTGAAGTGTCCCTTGAGTTTGTTTTATTTTTGTCTTATTTTATTGCTTGTTTTAACAGTAGCAAAATAACTGTTTTGTGTTTACACTTTGAAATCTGGAGTGTTAACCAGCTCTCCTGTTGAAATATTTACTTAATATTTCTCTCCCTAATTGCTGCCTTTTACTACAGTGGCAATCTTAACTGTATATCACTTTTTTGTGCTGGAGTGACAACCAGAAATGCTTGAGAAAAATAATACTCTATTTTGTTACTTCTCTGAGGGGGGGCGAAAAGTTGCAG